CAGCGAGTGTGTGTGTGTGTGTCCAGCGAGTGTGTGTGTGTCCAGCGAGTGTGTATGTGTGTACAGCGAGTGTGTGTGTACAGCGAGTGTGTGTGTGTCCAGCGAGTGTGTATGTGTGTACAGCGAGTGTGTGTACAGCGAGTGTGTGTGTCCAGCGAGTGTGTGTGTGTGTACAGCGAGTGTGTGTGTGTGTACAGCGAGTGTGTGTGTACAGCGAGTGTGTGTGTGTGTGTACAGAGAGTGTGTGTGTACAGCGAGTGTGTGTGTGTGTGTCCAGGGAGTGTGGGTGCACAGCGAGTGAGTGTGTGTACAGCGAGTGTGTGTGTGTACAGCGAGTGTGTGTGTGTCCAGCGAGTGTGTGTGTGTACAGCGAGTGTGTGTGTGTGTGTACAACGAGTGTGTGTGTACAGCGAGTGTGTGTGTGTGTGTACAGCGAGTGTGTGTGTACAGCGAGTGTGTGTACAGCGAGTGTGTGTGTGTCCAGCGAGTGTGTGTGTGTCCAGCGAGTGTGTGTGTGTGTGTACAGCGAGTGTGTGTGTGTGTACAGCGAGTGTGTGTGTACAGCGAGTGTGTGTGTGTGTCCAGCGAGTGTGTGGGGGCGTAGCAAAGATCCCCCTATAGCCTCAACAGACTGCTGGGGAAAGTGCTGTTAGCGATCACCTTTGATGTCCGGCAACGCATACGAGGGGTGTGTGTTCAACACCACGCCCGGCCGCCTTTGTCGCTCGACTGCTAATGTTGACACACCCGCTTACCCACGCTCACCCACTCACCCACGCTTCACTAATTCACTGCATTCTCCCACTCACCGCCATCGCTCGCCATCACCTCCATCCACACGCTTACAACCACTCACCCACAATCACCCACGTTCACTCTGACCCACTCATCCACGCTCACCCACAATCATATATGCTCACTCACGAAATAATCCGTAATGAACCGCCTGTTGTATATGTGGAGTTTGCTCTCCCCGTGGTCGCGTGGATTTCTTTTCTCCGGGTCCTCCGGTTTCCCTCCCCCCCTCCACACTTTCAGACACACGCGCTTAGAGAATTTGGCTGCAATACATTTGCACGCGATAAGCCACTTCGTTGAGCTGTTATTTGCGATAGCCAGATCGCTCCTGAATAAGAGCCATCGAGTTCTGGTAAAATATAAAGCTACGTTTTCTCTTTCCCTTCTCCTCCCCACCAAATGTACAAATGATAAAGACGGCAAATTGTTGCCCACGCCACTGCTGGTGAAGGCGCCTCCACTACGTGGGACATCTCTCGAGAACTCTCCGTTGAGTCGTGGGGGTCTCTTTTGGTCCACTCTTACCCGGTGTTGGAAGAAGAGGTGGGAGCAGCGCACACTTTATCCACACCGCAAGCGACCTGCCGGACCCCTTAGCCTATGGAGTACTCATTTATACTGCGGGGTTGGTCAAATGCCGCGCCGGGAAATCGATCCGGTGACCTGTCGATTGCAAGTTCAGCGTGCTGATCATGTCTACCCCCCCCCCCCCCCCCCACGGTGGCAGCATCCTGCTTCTCACTGCCGGTGGAGGTCATCCCACGCGGACACGGCCGCTCATCACAAACACGCGCAAAGTTCTTGTGTTCCCTTTACATCGGCTTTTATTAATAATAATAACTTTAAATGCCATCGGGTAGTAATAATAAATCATAACAATCCGATCATTCCTCATCCTCGCAATTACATTCCATGCGGTGAAGCCTTCGCTGGACATTCCCCTCCCCCCTCCGCTCCGCGCGTGCTGCAAATCTCTCCCCCCCCCTTACCCCTACTCCCCCTCCCCCCCACGTTCCTCCACCTCCCCCATCTCCCTCCCCCCCAGGTGAACAAGGTGCCACAATGAGGCCACGTGAACAGCGGCGCGCTATGGAGCGGGCGGCACCGGCGTGGGGCGGGGGGGGGCACGTGGCAGAGTCGCTCACGTGGCACGCGGCACGAGACGAGGCCACGGCAGAGAGCACGTGGCAGGAGACACCGAGCGGTCGGTCGCGTGACACATTTCAAGTGGCATTTTCGCTTCGTTCGCAACTTAAATCGTTGCGAGCTTCGGGGAATGTTCACCCCAATGAGTGTTACGTAACTGTCTGCACCCCCCTCCGCCGCACACCCCCCACCCCCTCCGCCTACCTCTCGCCCTCCCTCCTCCACATAACCAAACCCCCTTCCCCCCCCCCACCCTCACCGCGGGGAGGGAGGGGGGCTCATGACCCCGTGTATTCATCTATCGTGACCGCTCCCTTTCCCGCACACAGCATCACCGCGTTCATGTTTTATGTAACGCGATGGATTTTATTTCTATACCGCTACTGCTGTTATTATTAACAATGGTATTATTATTATGGTTACCCGCGCGCGCGTTATTACATAGAGAGAGAGTGGGAGAGAGCTCCGTATCATCGAGCGCGGTCAAAATAAAAAAAAATATAGAGGGTGGTAGGACAATTGGAGGCAGGAACACAGCGCGCGGAGGTTATAAATCGTGAGTGTCATCCACCCCCCATCACCTCCACTACCCCCCAGGATTCTCACCCCAAACCCGCTCACCCCCTCCCCCACAACTCCCCACCCACCCCCCCTCGCGATAGCCAGCCCCCCCCCACCAACACTCCCCCCCCCACCAAACATCTCCCCCCACCCCCCCGGGCGCTGATTGCTCTGGGAGAGGACTGAATGTTTGCGCTCGAATAGGCGAATTAACGCAAGTGGCCAAATGAACGAGAGAACGCACGCTCCTTTAGGTGGCGCATTGTTACACCAAAGGATCGTGAGAGGTGGCGGCGGACGCGTGAGAAGGGGGGCCTTCGTCTAGCAGTGGATGGACCATGGCTGATGATGTTGACGCTTGACGATGGGGAATGAATACATCATGCGAGGCGCGTCGCGTCAGCCAGGCCCCAGTACGCTTTGCGAACGTGGCTCGCGGGGCGCGCGGAGCGTGAATTATTTATGGGATTTTAATTTGTATTAAAATTAACCTCCTGCGTTAAATCGCCAGAGCCACCACCGCAATCATCACGGGGGCGGCAGTCGACGCGGATTTCTGTTTAGTTTCGTTTTGTTGTTTTAACGAAGCCCGCTGTGAGTGTCGGCCCGTGCCAAAATCGACCAAGCGTGCGCGAGAACGCGCTCCGTCTCCTAATTCAGATCTCAAGAAGATGAGGGCGGGTTGGCGACATCGGGGAGGGTACTGTGCTGTGATACATCTATGCCCCCCAGCTCTCACCAATCTGCACCGAGCAGCGTGACGGTCACACGATCCCCTCCACACGACCCCGCGCGCCATCGGAAGCACCCTTCGCCCCCCGTTATCCAGCAGTATGTCGACAACAAGGGCTGCTGCTGCACGTGACGTCGGCGGCACATCGTCCGCGGAACCGCTTAACAGTCCATTGTACGACCAGGACACACGCGCACAGAGAGGGCCCACGGCGAGCGGGCTGACCCGGGTGCCACCGGCCGCACGGTTCAGACCGGGCCCGGGGTGGGCGGGTGGGCGGGGGGATGTGGCGACACCCCAACGCCCAACGTCGCGGCGATCGAGAAACAGCTCTCTGCGCGTGTCCGCGTCGCTGATTACAGCTCCTTAACCCTCGTAGGCTGGGGGTGGCGTGGGGGTAGTGGATGAATCGGCTTTGCATGCGCCCGCACGAAGCGCGCAACTCCCCTCGCCCCTCTCGCCCTTCATCGGATCGAATTGACGACCTCACGCTGGTCCGCGGATGTCGCTCTCCGTTGATGGAAAACGACGGCGATTTTGGGCGACTTGACGGTGTAGCGCTCCTCTATTTTCGATCGCTGTTGTTGATTTATTTGATTTTATTTGTTTGTTTAATGCCGGTTCTTGTGTTCGTACGATCATCACGACGGGTTCCGAGGGCCGCCGCCCCCGGTCGAGCTTCGTGGACCCCATGCCGCTCCACATTTCCACACCCAAGATGACCTCCCCCCCCCCACCTCGCCCACCGCGAGCTCCTCTCGACGAGCGCGCGGTGTCACCCCGCACGACCCCAGGCGCACGCCTGGCTCGGGCAATTAGCAGGAGGCGAGCGGAGGGGGGAAGATGAGGAGGGGAGAGGAGGGAGGAGAGGAAGGGGGGGAACCAGAGACTCTCGTGACCGGGTGCGGTGGAGGGCCATCGCCGCTGCATCCTCCCCCACACCTCCACCTCCCGTCGCTATCCCTAGGGCCACGTCGCCCACACGAGGGCGCGAACTCAGCGATTTTGACGCATTTCCCCTGAATCTCATTATACGACTACACGGCGACAGCTGCGGACTAACCTCAGGTCAACAGTGACGCCACCGGCTGCTGCTGCTGTTGTTGTTGCCATGGTCCCAGGGCCACGGGCACGCGGGGAGGGCAAAGCTCGTGAGAGCAAAGTAGTGGACAGCAGAGCCCCTGGGGGGTCAGCAGAGCACCGGGGGGGACAGCAGTGGCCCGGGGGGACAGCAATGGCCCAGGTGGGGACAGCAGTGGCCCCGGGCGGGGGGGCAGCAGTGGCCCCGGGGGGGCAGCAGTGGCCCAGGTGGGGACAGCAGTGGCCCAGGTGGGGACAAAAGTGGCCCCAGGGGGGACAGCAGTGGCCCCGGGTGGGGGGGGCAGCAGTGGCCCAGGTGGGGACAGCAGTGGCCCGGGGGGGGGGAGCAGAGCCCCAGGGAAGAATCTTCAGGAGATGCCTGCGATTTTGACTCTGCTCATTTTTCATGTCGGTGACCACTTCGCGCGCGACGTCTTCGAGATCCACCCCGCCGCCATTTCGTGGACTTTAACTGCGAGGTTTGGGTCGCTTCAATTCCCCCACGTGACGTTTAAAGAACACGCACACATGTGTTGGTTGTGTGTTGGTTGTGTGGTGTGGGGATGGGGGGGGAGGGAAGGGGTGGGGACGTCCTCGACTCTTCACCTCCACACCACAAGGCAGAACCAGCAATCGATTTTTTTAAAGATGTCGTTTTTGCATTTCATATGTTTTTTTTTTACTATCTCCCCCGTACCGTCGTCAATGCACAGTTTGCCACCATAGTCGGCCATTGTTATTATCATTATATGAACGGATATAATATAATAAATACTTGTATATTGTACGCACACGAATGCCACCCCAGCTTTGGTTTCTGAGCACCGGTGCACAGCTACACGGGGGGCGGGCGCCGGAGGACACGAGTCGGGTGGTTGTCAGGAGGACGACTACGATGATGACACGATGATGCAGATCGATGGTCGATCGTTCCACGAGTCAACCTGTCTCACTCTCCAGTTTCACTCAGTCCCCAGGAGGATTTCCGACCGTCGCCACCAACGCCGCCAATGCCCGCTGTAAAGTCCGTGGTCCCGGGCACGCTCTCTGCCCACACCGGGAGCCCTTTGTGAGATACGCGGCAGGTCGACGGACATCTCGGGGAGATTAATCGCGTCGATGGTGGCTGGTGCTCTCCGCTCCGGTGGAGCGATGCACGGCTCAGCGAGCGATCTGAGAGCCGCGGTTCTCCCCCCCCCCACTCCTCCCCCCTAAAATAAGAGAACCTCGACGTAGTTGGGGAAATGCTCTAACGGACGCGCGCACACACAAGACAAAGTTCCCCCGTATAGCATTAACCAACTGTTGGGGCAATTGCTGTTAGCGAGCACCTGTGAAGGCCCGCACGGCACACGAAGGGATGAGTGGCCAGCACAACGCCCGGCCGCCTTCGTCTCCCTAGTGACGATGTTCTGGGACTCCCTTAGTCGACCTAAGGGAGTCCCAGAACCGGTTCCGATAATCGTCACTGGTGTTGGCCGCGAGCAGGATTCGGAACTCGAGAGTCGCCGGATTTGTAGCGCAGCGCGCTAACCGCTACGCCACCGCTCCCCATACACACACACACCACGTGCGCACACACTCACACACACGCACTCCGGCTCACAGTCCCCATCACTACACCGCTGGCCGGTACAACACGACGGGAGACAGGAACGGAGTATGGCATCGCCCACAGGAAGCCAACATCACGTGTTCACCGACATGCAAGACAGTGGTGTGGCTCGGTTACAGGAATAACATGCGCGGGGACACGTGGACACACAGTAAACACGGAAGGCATAACACCACGAATCCTCTACGCCCTACAGGTTATACAACGTGTTCTCTTTTGTTGTTAAACATCATAGAGATCAAAGTACAATTTGCAGATGTAGTATATGAATATCCTCTTTATAATAATGTTTAGCATAAAATAATATATTATATATCTTTTTTTTGGCTTTGACTTACTCGGCGCCCTGTAAGGGAAGGGGTGGGGGCTCAATTGTTTGGGTCCAGACGCCGTCACTCGCTCGCTGCTTCTTCTTCTTCTGTCAGCCCCAACCTCCTCGAGTCGGAGGAACACAGCCCCCAGACAGCTGTGAGCGTGGGGCGTGGGGGGCAGGGAGCCCTTCTCTTGCGGAGTAAAGACGCGCTTCCTTATTCCACTGTGGGTCAGTGCGCGTCACAGCACATCCATCCACTCACTTCTCAGCCACCACCCTGCCCCCCCCCCTCTCTCTCTATCTCTCCGGCTTCCACCACCACCACTACCAGCAGCAGAGAGAGTAATCACACTTTTTTTTGTTGGCGCAGGGGAAGGAGAGGGGGGGGGTGCAAACTTCACGATCTCGATTGGTACCAACGGCGCAGAGTAACTCAACTCGCATCATCGCAGAGCGCGCGGCGCACGTCCGTCACGTGTAAACAGCGACGAGGGGACGGACGGAGGGAGGAAGGGAGGGATGGAAAACGCGGATTTGGGGGCGGGGGAGCTATGCTAGAGACTGAGACGAGAGAGAGAAAGTGACACACTGAGTGGTTGGTCAATTGCAACTGCTGTGCAAAGCACTGCGTGGAGTTCCGAGCGGCCAGAGTCGGCGCTGCGCTGCGCTCGCTTGCGCGTTACGCGCGACGCGGGCAGAGGTCGACGGAGTTGGGTTCGGGTGCGGGCGGGGCGGGACGAGGAGGAGGGAGAAGGAAGTTGGGGTTTTCGGGGCCAGGAGCCATCTCAAACTCATCGTGGAGCGCGAACACTTTCATTTCGTTTCTTCGGTCATTCGTTCTTCCCCCGGGACAGGGAGCCCTTCTCGATCACCCGCGGAGCCGCTCACTGCCCCGAAGCCGTGGCGGTTTCCCCCCTCCCCTGCCTGCCCGCCACCCCCCGAGTCAAACCCGCGAACCCTCGGTGGGGGGGGGGGGGGGGGGGGGGGTTAAGCCGGCACGGATGATGGAGGTGGACAGAGGTGGGTGGGGCGGTGGACGGGGCTCGGGTCGGCTCCACGCTGGGGGCTGAGGGTTTCCCTGAGCGCGGTGGGAGAACTGTCACGTGACCCAGCTCCACCTGGGACCCCCACCCCTGCCCCCACACCCCCGCCCCCCACGACTCTCTCCTCCGCGTGGCGAGACGAGTTTCTCTGCGGGAAAGATAAACACAGGGACCGGGTTACTCCTCGCACGCGTTTCACAGTCACTGCGCGGACCTTGTACGCTGCACACACATCGGTTGGATCTACTGCTGGATGACGTGCCTCTCCCGCGGAACGTCGGACACGCGCGTTGCTTCAACCATATTTTACCACGATGGTCAGCGCGGGGGTTTCTCATTGACCGGTCCTGATATCTCTCGCCGCACCGATGCTGCTAACCGCAGCCCCCTCGAACGACTGCTCAGCTTTGCGCGTCATCGTCTCCACCCTTCGCGAGCCCCTTCCTGCGCCCAGCGATCCTAAGAATTGTCGAGATTCACGAGCCAAGGAGTAGAACTCAGGCGGCCGAGTTGTATGCATACACTTGTGTGTTGGACTTCTTTCGCACCGTACGTCCGGGAACCCCCAAAGCCAGCGTTTTCACCCTTGTGTCTTTGCTTCCCCCGTGTACGATGACCAGCTCGCCGCCCTGGTTAATACTGCCGTGTCTGATTCACAGTGAACTTTAATAGATCCCGTGACATCATGTGCAAGAGTAGGCTATTGTGTGCCGGGGTCATGGCACACACACACACACATTTTGCCAAAATGTAAATATGTACCCCGCAACATGACTCAATTGAGATATAATATAGACACAGGATGGCGATCATCACAGCCTAGTGAGAAAATGCAATTCGGCAGCGTCCTCCTGCAAGAGAGTCATTAGACTCAGTGAGGCCTTCCCCTGGGTAAACAAGCGTAACCATTCAAATATCAGCGTCCAATTTGTGATTATCGCAAAATAAGAAAGAACAAAAAAATAAGGAGAAAAAACGAAATCTCTCGCGGAGCTATGGAACCTTGGCTTTGGTTAATATCTCGCATGCCCACGGTGCACGCACGCATGCGTAACACCAGAGCCCCCCCCCGCACACCATCCAACTCGCTCCCTCCCCCTCCCCCGAGGCGTCCGGACGTTCAGTGCGTGCAGAGGCGAGCGAGGCAGAGGGAGATATTTGATTCGATTTGAAATGTGCGCCATACGAGCCACAGCGAGGGTGAACGCCCGAGATAACTGGATGAGCATTTCAGAATCACGACGCTCTAAGCGGGCCACGGCACTGTGACCCCCTCCCCTCCCTCGACAGCTGCGCTGCCGTTCGGGGTGTTTCAACATTGCCACGAATATGGCTGTGACCACATCTTAGGGATTGTAAGACGCACTGCCCCCCCTCCCTGCCCTCCCCCCCGCGCCGCCGCCGCAACCCCCAATGCCCGTATATTCTAAAGCAAAACGTTGGGAGTGCGTCTTATACATTCCGGCCGCAGAATGTGTGTGTGTGAGACGAACTTAAAAAAAAAATGTTTTTTTTCACACGGGGGACATTTGCATGGTACCGTTATTAGCACGGTGGGTTACGTACGGTGCGAAAGAAGGTCAACGTACATACATAGAAAGTGGCGGTAGCTTAGCAGTGGATTGACCGTGACTGATGATCACGATAACTAACATTGAGTGGCAGATGTCAATTACATTTCCCCCCAAAAACCAAGGCGTTACGTACATATGATTCACTGAGTTACCAGAGCAGAATGCGTTCGGTGTGAAACGTCCACGTCGCTACCTCCTGTCCTTCCACGTCGCCTCCCATGCATTGCGCCACAAAGACAAAGATCTCCCGTATAGCCTCCACAGACTGTTGGGGCAAGTGCTGTTAGCAAGTTACACCTGTGAAGGCCGGCACGGCACACGAGGGCAAGCACCATACCCGGCCGCCATTGCCTCCATCGTGGCGATGTTCACGCATCGCGACAGGTCCTCATTTGAGGCCGAGTCGACCTAGGGGAGACCCAGAACCGGTTCAAATAATCGCCACTGTTATTTGGTCGTGAGCGGAAATCGAACTCGGGCATCCCGGGTTTCGTGCGCAGCGAGGCGCTAACCGTTGCACCACCGCTCCCCCCCCCTTTCCCTGCCACTGAACCGGAGCCCACCTCACCACCTCACCTCCTCACCACCGCCGCCACTCCCCGCTCACACGGGCGTCGTCCTGCGGTTGGCGGCCGAGCCGAACAGCGTCTCCTCCAGCTCGCTGCGCAGGCAGTTCTGCACGGCGAACATCTCCGCCGCGGTGCCCGTGCCGCTGCCGGAGCCGCTGCCCGTGGGTGCGCCTCCGACCCCGCCGCCGCTCCCGCCGGCTCCGCTGCCCGAGCCGCCCTGCTGGCCGCCCGACACGAAGGGGTTGAAGTCCGGCGGGGAGTCCCGCGGCAGCGTGTACATGGCCAGCGTGTCCGTGGACGGCTGCGCGTTCAGCGGCTTGAAGCCGACGGGCGACGGGTCGCGTGAGCGCCAGCGGTAGCTGGGCAGCCGCATCCCCGCCACCCCCATTCCGCCCGCGCCTCCTCCTCCTCCGATGCCTCCGCCGGCTGCCATCGCCTGGGCCGCCGCGGCGGCTGCGGCCGCGGATGACGAAGCGGCCGCCGTGGAGGAGGAGGAAGAGGGCTTCTTGAGATAGTCGTCGCTGTCGATGGCCGTGACACCGAGGCCCATGCCGGGCATGATGCCCGGCAGCGCCTGCGAGAGGGCGTGTTGGTGCGCGTCCATGAAGACGTGCACGAGCCACGCGCCCAGCGTCTCAGCGATGAAGAAGGAGAGGGCGCCGAAGTAGAAGGACCAGCCGTACGAGTAGTTCTTGTTCTTCGGATCGCTCATGTTGGGGTCGCCCGCGTTGCTCGAGATGTACACGATGATGCCGATGATGTTCGACAGGCCTGGGATGTTGGGAGAGGGGAGTGGAGGTGGAGGAGGGGGAGGGGTGGTGGCACGGACAGACGGAGGTGCTCGAGAGGTGTGAGAGTTACTGCTGACGAGGTGTGTGGATGTGTGTGCGTGTGTCACTGTTGTGGGGAGCGGTAGTGTAGCGGTTAGCGCGCTGCGCTATGAACCCGGCGATCTGGTTTCGATTTCCGCTCACGGCTCACACCAGTGACGATGATCTGAACCGGTCCTGGGCCTCCCCTAAGTCGACTCAGCCTCAAATGAGTACCTGGTGCTGTGTATAAACATCGCCACTGGGGAGACAAAGGCGGCCGGACGTGGTGCTGACCACCCACCTCCTCGTGTACCCTTCCGGCCTTCATAGGTGCTCGCTAACAGCACTTGCACCTACAGTCTGTCAAGGCTATACGGGGGATCTTTGTATGTTATAGCCCTATCGCCGCCGGGGCGAGGCTGTGGCCGCGACGAGGTGCAGACGCGCGCCGCACCTGCCGCCACCATGCTGATGCCTGCACCGAGAACGATGTGCAGCTTGGACTTGTAGATCTCGCTGGCGGCGATGCAGAGGCCTCCGAAGAGGAGCAGCAGCACGCTGAAGATGGGGAAGATGCTGGAGGCGCGCATCAACCCTTGGGGGGGGGGGGGGCGGCGAAAAGGTCACCGGAGGAAGGGAGTCGCGGGCGAGGGTACACCCGGGAGGGTGTCGCGGTGATTCATTGGCGTGAGGATAGTGGCACGGGGGGAGGGGGGACGAGCAGAGACACGCGGGGGGGGGGGGGGGGGGGAGACAAGAATCGAGACGCGTGGAGAGTCACGGGGAGGTAACATGGAGACACCGGGAGACGAGGCTAGTCGCGTGAGTTACGGGGAGACCAAGAGAGTCACGCGAGACATCACGGGGAGACACCACGAGGAGAGGTCACGGGGAGACACCACGGGGAGAGGTCACGGGGAGAGGTCACGGTGAGACACCACGGGGAGACGTCACGGAGAGACACCACGGGGAGAGGTCACGGGGAGAGGTCACGGGGAGACACCACGGGGAGAGGTCACGGGGAGACGTCACGGGGAGACACCACGGGGAGAGGTCACGGGGAGACACCACGGGGAGACGTCACGGGGAGAGGTCACGGGGAGACACCACGGGGAGAGGTCACGGGGAGCCACCACGGGGAGAGGTCACGGGGAGACACCACGGGGAGAGGTCACGGGGAGACACCACGGGGAGACGTCACGGGGAGAGGTCACGGGGAGACACCACGGGGAGACGTCACGGGGAGAGGTCACGGGGAGACGTCACGGGGAGACACCACGGGGATAGGTCACGGGGAGACGTCACGGGGAGACGTCACGGGGAGACGCCACGGGGAGAGGTCACGGGGAGACGTCACGGGGAGACACCACGGGGAGAGGTCACGGGGAGACACCACGGGGAGACGTCACGGGGAGAGGTCACGGGGAGACACCACGGGGAGACGTCACGGGGAGACCCCACGGGGAGAGGTCACGGGGAGACGTCACGGGGAGACGCCACGGGGAGACGTCACGGGGAGACGTCACGGGGAGACGTTGCGGGGAGACGTCGCGGGGAGAAACGGAGTAATGGGTCGACGTGCCGAGTGACGGGTACATTGGGAGAGCAGTAGCGGCCAGAAATCCCCCCCCCTCCCCCCTCCAAAGCTCTGTGGTCCTCCATATATATAAAGGTTTTGTCGGGCGATTACTGAACAATACATGCACTTGCGTAGCACTGACAACGCAGCACCTGCAGCAGCACCGTCACGATGTGTGTGTGGGGAGCGATAGTGTAACGGTTAGCGCTACGCTGCGCTACGAACCCGGCCAACCGAGTTCGATTCCCGCTCACGGCCGACTCCGGTGACGATTATCTGAACCGGTTATGGGCCTCTTCTAGGTCGACTCAGTCTCAATCGAGTACCCGGTGCGGTGTGTAATCATCTACACTAGGGAGATAAAGGCGGCCGGGCGTGGCGCTGGCCGCGCACCCCCTCGTGTGCCACAGTGCCGGTCTTCGTAGGTGCTACTCGCCAACAGCACTAGCCTCAACAGTCTGTTGAGGCTACACGGGGGAGCTTTGTCTTTGTGTGCTCGCGCGTCGTGAAAATCCGCGTCACCGGCCTCAGCGGGGCGCTTACGCGCGGAAGACAAAGACGTGTTTGGTGGAAAATGTTTGCTCTAATCAGCCAGAGTAATTTGTTAAGTGCGACACTCAGCACAAAGCGGAATAATAAAAGACTTTGGCAGTCGCCCCTCCTCCCTCCCTCCGCCTCCTTCCACACAAATCATTACTCACCTTGTGTGTAACGGGAAAAAAACAACGCGCGCACACACACACACACGCGTGCCCTGGGCGACGCGCAAACATGCGTCTTGCGGAAACCTTTCGCGAAATATTATCCTCGCGCAGATCATTATCCCCGGGTGCTTCTCAACTCCGCAGCGCCGCTTCCGAGAGTATACCCGCGAAGGAACGCCGCAATTTATCCTGGAACGCAGCGCCGAATCTCGGGCCGGAACAGTCCGGAACGCCGCTGCTCCTCACCCCGATCAATCTCCATCTCGGTGTGTCCTTGTCACGGTGCAGTGGCGTGCGTTGCACGTGCCGTGGGTAAGCGCTCAGCGCCAGCGAACCCGGCGACCCGGATTCGCTCCCCGTTCACGGCCAACACCGGTGACGCTTATCTGAACCGGGTTCTGGGTCTCGTCCCCTCGGACGACTTAGCCTCGAATGAGTGCCCGGTGCGGTGTGTAAACATCGTCTCTGGGGAGACAAAGGCGGCCGAGCGTGGGGATGGCCACCCACCCTCTCGTGTGCTGTGTCGGCCTTCATAGGTGCTCGTTAACAGCACTTGCCCCAACAGTCTGCTAAGGGTATTAGGGGGAGCTTTGTCTTTGTGGTCGTGAGCAAAATGCACGCATGTGAATAGGGCTTCGGGCTAGCAGCTGTTCATAGAGTTACCTGCTGTCCTCAATAGACGCTTATTATCATGGATAGGCGTAGCTTGTACTCTAGTGGTAGTGCCTTACGCCGATAATCCTTACTCCCAAGCCAGCCTAGCGCTGTTCCGGAGAATATTGGGCGAGAAATGAAGGTCCCGCTGGTCGGGCCGACGTGGCACCGCTGACATGGAGAGGTGGACGAGGGTGGGGTGGAGTTCTCAGCGGTGTATGCCGCTGCCTCCTGCCGTGGCGTACGGCTCTCAACTAAAAAAAATCGTCGACACTCGCCAAACGAAATGGCACAAAAAACAGAAAAGTACTGAGAGACGCACGCACAGAGACAGAAAAGAGGAACACGTGGATTGGAGAACATACGCAGATAATCTTGATTTGAAGCTTTCGTGAGTATTTAACTGCTATTTAGAATTTTTTTTACCAGGTAAGGCCCACTGAGCTATGAGATATTATTTTTTAGAAGCGACCTGGGGACAAATGATAGCTCAACGAAGTGCGCTTATCACGTGGACATTTATAGCAGCCCAATACTCTAAACGCGTGTTTCTAAATGTGACGGGGGAAAAACCCGGAGGAGCCGAAGGCAAATCTACGCGACCACGGGGAGAGAGACACGCAACCTCCAAATATACAGCAGCAGCAGGCGTCGGGTTTGGGATCGAACTCACGACCTCCTGTGTACCGGCCGAGGTAGTCAACATCTCGCCATCGCTCACACTGATAAGAAGTGAGGAAGTGAAACTTCGGGAGGACGCGCCATCGCTCGATAGCCAACGGTCAAGAATAACGACGGAGTGGCAGCAAGGGGATAGCTCGCATTCTAGTGCACGCCCGTCGAAGGGAGACAGAGCGAGGAATTCAACTCGTGCGCAGCCAGCCAGTTGCCTGAGTGCATCGCAGGATCGTGAGAGATGGCGACGGCGTGCGGGGGAAGACTTGCGTCTAGCAGTGGATTGATCATGGTTGGTGATGGGAGGGCAGGTCGTAGAGGGACACTGACGCACGACAAGAGAGTAGTAGTAATAGTAATACTCATTTCCTCATAATAAAGGATGTTTTTTTTAAACCTCTCTACGTGACTTTACCGAAAGACCCAAAGAATATTGATTATTATCATAGTGCCAGGGGCACGGCTCCTCCTCGACGCCCAGGGGGGAAAGGAATTGCGCAACATCCGTGCGGCATTCCACACCAAGCCTCGCTGCTTGCTCCAAAGTGCCGGATTGCAGCTAGCCACGTGCAGCAGCAGCAGCGGCAGCAGCGGCAAAGCCGCCACCACCACCGCCACCACCACCACCACCCCACCACCACCACCACCTCTGATTGGCAGTGGCACGCGAGTCATGACGCGACGATTTAGCCACGCGGTGACATCGCCAAGCGTGCCAAGGCGATGATGACACAACTCGCTCGGCAGAAGCAGCTGAACTGTGGGACAGCCGCTTATCCTCCACTCCTCCCCCCTCTCCCCTCGTGAGCGAGTCGTGGAAGCACCGATCGAGATGCGCTTACGGAGTAAGTACTCAGCCGTGTCCTTGAAATCCGAGTCTTCCGGGAAGTGGTCGATGGTTTTACACACGCCCTTGGAGCTCCCTGCGGAGAAGAAGAGACACGTTGGCTTCGTGAGGGAAGGGCAAGTCGGCCACACAACCACAACAACCACAACAACCACAACGGCGGAAAGTTACAGAACCACACTGGCACATAGAGGGAACTACGCTGCCAGAGAGAACCACACAGACAGAGAGGGAACCACACTAACATAAAGGCACACACTGTCATAGAGTGCCACACAGGTAGAGAGAGAACCACACAGGCAGAGAGAAATGCGCGTGCACGAATTGACAATCACATGGACACAGTGAGCACCGCATCAGCAGAGTGACGATGCAGTGAGCAGCGTGCAACCCACAGTGGCACGCACACACAACAACAACAACAACCGCCATTCGCCACTAAGTGGCGGTGACGTCACCACGACGCTTGTGCCAGGCTATGTGCACCCTGAGGCCACGTGAAGTGTCGAACGCCCGCTGGCAGGAGGTCACGGGGCAGACCCAGGTGCCACGGGTCGACTGACTGAGATGACTGGCAGATGCACCACCTGTGCCCCCTACTGTGCCAACCTGCTGTGCTTTAGCCACCCGGCGCTCCGCTCGCTGTTGTGAGCGTCGCTCCTCCGCCCTCCGTTGTTGTTGGAGGGCGACTGCCTCCAACTGCCCAGTAGCATCCTTCACGAGCCTCCTCCACAGAGGCCGATCTTGACACCGCTGGTACCAGTCATCGGCAAGTCCACTCAGCTCCACGTCCTCCTGTACCACATCACTCCATCTCTTCTCTAGCCCGTGCCGCGCCCGCTTAGCCCCCTCAATCCGGCCAAACAAAAGCTGTTTCGGCATGCGGTGGCTGGGCATGCGGGCTACATGACCCAGCCAACGCAGCCTTGCCTGCCGGAGGAGCTCACCGATGGGACCCTGCCCAGATCTTTCAAAGATTTGTGAGCACCTCACACAATCCAGTCTGGTTAAACCCAGGATGGATCGTAGGCAGGCCAGCCTAAATGTTTCTAACCGGCGAAGATGTTCCATTAGGGGGGTCCACGTTTCGCAAGCGTAGAGAAGGGAGGGAATGACCGTGGCCGAGAAGACCTGAAGCTTAGTGCGGAGCGACAGACCAGGTAGCTTCCACACAGCGTTACGCAACCGATGAAAAGATATTGCCGCTCGACTGATTCGGAGTGAGACCTCTGCTGTTAAACTGGAGCCAGTCATAAGCACACTGCCCAGGTATGGGAAACTCTCCACTCTCTCCACAACTGCCCCATCACCGATTGGGAGTTGCGGGGGTGGAGTGTCCGATGGTACAAAATACCCAGGCAGGTGCTTAGTTTTGGTGGGGCTGATGGTAAGGCCCCACCTCTTAGTGGCACGCTCCAGTCTCAGCAGCAGCGTCTCCAACTCCTCCTCTGACTGAGCAGCTATTACCAAGTCATCAGCATACATAACGTGGTTGAGCAATAGGGAGCCATCCCTTGATCGCACCCGGGCATCGATTAGCCTCCCATTATATCTGTACCATATGGAGATTCCCCCGGTACAGCTATTGAAGGCTTCACGAACTACGTGGTCAAAATAGATGTTAAATAATGTGGGAGCCAGAGGACATCCCTGTCGCACCCCAAGGTGTACAGGGAATGGCTCTGACTCCCGGCCACGTAGTTTTACCCGGGCCCGCTCACCATCATGAAGGTCCTTAATGATCGTGAGCAGAGGGTCAGGTACTCCAAAAGCACGAAGAACGACCCAGGCCTACTGATGGTATCATAGGCCTTGACCAGGTCAATAAAGCAGAGATGTAGGTCTTGTTGGAATTCCCTACACCTCTGCTGTAGCAGACGGACAGAAAATATGGCATCTGTGCAGGACCGCCCTTTCCTGAAACCGCATTGGGGCTCCGCAAGCCTCTCCTCAGCGTGCCTGGCAAGGCGATGCTGAATAATCCTTGCCAGGACCTTTCCCGGCACACTGAGGAGTGAGATGCCCCTGTAGTTGTTACAGTCTGTGCGGTCCCCCTTCTTAAAAAGAGGGACCACCAGGGCATCCTTCCAATCCTGCGGAACCCGTCCAGTGGTCCAGACTGTTGTTATGATGTCATATAGGGCAGTCTGTGCACAAACGCCACCCTCCCTCAGCATTTCGCTTGGGAGATCATCTCTGCCCGCTGCCTTTCCTGGTCTCAGACTCCGGATCGCCTTCAATACTTCCTCAGCAGATGGCACCTCAGCCAGCCACTCACAGGGGGTGACTTCATCCAATATTTGAGGCACCGCAGCCTCAGCAGGGTCATCCTCACTTTGTGCCACGATGTTTTCCTGGCTGAGGGATTTTCCCTCCCCCAGGACCTCACAGAAATGCTCAGCAAATCTGCGAACCTGTTCCTGGGGGTCGGAAATTGGATCACCGTTTTTTCCCCTAATGATGGTAATAGGTGTGGCGCTGCAGGTTACTTTTTTGATGGAGTTAAATAGAGATTTGTGATCACGGGCCACTGAGGCAGACTCCATCTCCTCAGCAACCCGCGACCACCACCCATCCTTGCAGCGCCTCACGGCTCTCCGAACCTCCGAGCGAAGGCTGCGGTAAGCCTCCTCATTCTCTGACGTGGGATTCTGTAGCCGATGACAGTGGGCCTGTCGCTTTTTCTCAACCATCGTGAACAACTCCTCTGTCATCCAGGGTGTCTGGGGAGGTCTGGACCGCGTACCCAAAGCAGCCATTGCAGCTGCATGAGTCACAGTCCTAAACCTCGCCCATTTACCCTCGACATCAGGAGGAGTCGGGGACGATGCCAATCCCAGCCGCAAGCGATGATGAAATTCTCGCTTGCAACTTTCATCAGATAACTGAGACCAGGCCACTTTAGGTTGGAATGGGGTCCTGGGTGTACACCCACCACTGGAGTGGAAGAATGGCAGGCGCATCTTACAGATGACTAGTCGATGGTCAGAGGGCAGATCAGCTCCACGGTAGGTCCTGGTGTCAAGGACATGGGCTCGCATTCGCTGGTCCGTCACTATGTAGTCCAGCAGATGTTCTTGCTTGGACCCGGCATGCATCCATGATGTTGTGTGGATGCGCCGATGCCGGAACAGCGTGTTGGTAATTACAAGCCCATGGGCTGCACAAAAAATCTAGCAGCCTCCTACCGTTGTTATTGAGCTGATCTGGCCCATGCCCTCCAATCACTCCAGACCAGGTGCCAGTATCATGACCAACTCGGGCATTGAAGTCACCCAACATGATGACTCTATCCCGAGGGGCCACTTTAGCCAGCACCTGTGACAGGAGGTCATAGAAGGCATCTGACTCATCGGCTTTGCCTGCATCCCTCCACGGATGTTCATCTTCGGTGGGGGCATAAGTAACCACGACCACCATTCCTCGCCTCCGGTTGATGGGAAGGCGAGCCCAAAGTAGCCTGGGGCTTACAGCTTCCCACACCTCACCGCCACGCTCCCACGCCCCCTTCATTCTTTTGTTCGAAAGAAGACCCACACCCTGTTGTTTGGCAGTCTGCTGCCCCGAGTAGAGGACTGTCCACCCCTCATGGTGGCAGGAGCCAGAGCCGGTCCACCGGACCTCCTGAATGCCGCATAGATCCAGGCGGTACCGGTCCAGCTCCCGACAGAGGAGTGGCAGCCTCTCCTCCGCAGTGAGCGTTCGAACATTCCACGTGGCCAACCGTAGTGGCTTTTCGTTGTTTCTGGAGTAGCCCCGAGGGTAGGTATTCAATCTCCTGGCTCCGCCAATTGGGGTTTGGCCAGGAGACGTCATAGACGCCTGGCCCCCCGGGGCCTCCGGCACAAGCTTAGTTGTTACATATTTCAGTTTAATTCGTAGTTTCGTGGTAATTAATTGAAGGTGGAGGGGTTACCAGCCCCTCGCACCCGTCCAGAGCCCCCGTTTAGCCCCTGTGGTGGACACATATGCCATGAGGGGAGGAGCCAATCAAAATTGGATCTCCCCCCACAGCGCTGTCCACGACAGAGTTGCCCGTCCGGCACCGCGAGGAGGTAGGGGGTTGTTTTGCACACACATGTACACACACACACACACCAACAACAACCGCCAATCGCCACTAAGTGGCGGTGACGTCACCACGACGCTTGTGCCAGGCCATGTGCACCTTGAGGCCACGTGAAGTGTCGAACGCCCGCTGACAAGAGGTCACGGGGCAGACCCAGGTGCCACGGGTCGACTGACTGAGATGACTGACTGATGCATCACCTGTGCCCCCTACTGTGCCAATCTGCTGTGCTTTAGCCACCTGGCGCTCCACTCGTTGTGCGACAGCCTCCAACTGCCCAGTAGCGTCCTTCACGAGCCTCCTCCACAGAGGCCGATCTTGACACCGCTGGTACCAGTCATCGGCAAGTCCACTCAGCTCCACGTCCTCCTGTACCACATCACTCCATCTCTTTTCTAGCCCGTGCCGCGCCCGTTTAGCCCCCTCGATCCGGCCGAACAAAAGCTGTTTCGGTATGCGGTGGCTGGGCATGCGGGCTACATGACCCAGCCAACACAGCCTTGCCTGCCGGAGGAGCTCACCAATGGGACCTTGCCCAGATCTTTCAAGGATTTGTGAGCTCCTCACACAATCCAGCCTGGTTAAACCCAGGATGGATCGTAGGCAGGCTAGCCTAAATGTTTCTAACCGGCGAAGATGTTCCATTAGGGGGGGGTCCACGTTTCGCAAGCGTAGAGAAGGGAGGGAATGACCGTGGCCGAGAAGACCTGAAGCTTAGTGCGGAGCGACAGACCAGGTAGCTTCCACACAGTGTTACGCAACCGATGAAAAGATATTGCCGCTCGATTGATTCGGAGTGAGACCTCTGCCGTTAATCTGGAGCCGGTCATATGCACACACACACGCATACACACACACACGCACACACACGCACACACACGCACACACACACACGCACACACACACACACGCACAGACACACGCACACACACGCGCACACGCACACACACGCACACATACACATACGCACACACACACACGCACACACACACAACAACCGCCATTCG